GTCAAGGGTGCTTTATATAACACGTTTGCAACTGAATTTACTCATCACTGAAAAAGGAAAAAAATCTTAACTGCAATGAACAAAGGAAAAAAAATCTATAACAGTTTATGAAATAAAATTAGACTTAGTCCTCAGAAGCTGTCTCCAGAGAAATTTGTTTGCTTGTATATATTTACAAGAAAACAAAAATTGAATAGAGCTTACTGAGTTTTTGTAGGACGGAGCTATCATTGTTTCTATAACCTCGATTTCTGATGTGCTCTCGTATGTCATTCTTTCAAGAATATTTGTGTTTTAAGAAAATCTGGATTAGTCTGCACGTGCCTCATGTGTGGAATTTTGAGAACCAAAACAAAACAGGAAGACCTCCTTCCCAACGTAGTTTTGTTGAGCACTTACAGGCAGGTGCTGTGCAAAGCACTAGATGCTTCAGAAGTGACCCTTGTGCCCTCTGTGGTCCAAGAGAAACCTGTAACCACATGCCCCAAGATTAACCTCGTTTAATGACATCATGATTTATGTTCCACTTTATAATTTGTACATTATTTTTGTTTACTGATGTTACTTTTAATAGCAACCTTGTGAAGTAGGTAGATACTGCTATTCATTTCCTTGTGGAGAAAATAAAGTTATGATTGTTAAAATTTTAGGAGAAGGTAAAGGCTGAAGTTTCTACCATGTCGTCCTTTCCATTGGTTGGTAATCAGGTTTTTAAAAATCCATGAATGAGATGTCAGAGAAGAATAAAAAGTGAATTCAGAGGTGGAAGTTGCTTCAAAGAGACAAAAATGTATATAAAGGACAATGACAGCTTATAGCTAGGTACACTTAAAATTTGGAGATTTTTTTTTTTTTTTGGGGGGGGCGTTACATTGGATCTTAGTTGATGTGTGCAATTGTAAGCAAGGATTGAACCCCAGGCCTCCTGCACTGGGAGTATGGAGTCTTAGTCTTTGGACCAGCAGGGAAATACCCAGAGATGTTTTTATTAAATGAAGAGATTAATAAAGTGAAGGCTGGTTTGCTACAGAATGTTGATAGTTTTTTGTTTTTTTTATTTTTTGTTTATTTTTTAAATTACAAAAAAAATTTTTTTGGATGTGCCACATGGCATATGGGATCTTTGTTTCCTGACCAGAATCGAACCTGTTTCCCTTCTTCCCTTGCATTGGAAACACAGTCTTAACCCCCGAGGAACAGGGGACGTCTAGTCCCTGTAGATAGGCTTATTTATTTTGACTTAGCAGTATCACTGAATGGTATTAGTATCACTAGAAAAGTGAGTGAGTATAATTTAAGATGGGTATACTTCTGCACTCTTTCATTTCCAACATTGCAGTTGTACCTTTTTTTAATTGCCTGCTTTCGTGCCAGGTTTGGTGCTCATGTTGTCAGGAGGCAGTGTAATACTGTTAAAGAACAGTGCAGCACTCTGCAGTAGCTTTAGTTTCCTCTTAAGGTTGAGTGAGGATAAGCATAATCTTACTGCATAAATATGTAGTGACATTAATATGTTGTGTATATTTGATAATATATGTGTATATATTCTTACTGCATAAATATGTAGTGAAATTTAATGTGTTGTATATGAAGATTGCATAAAATTAGGGGTGTATGCATAAAGTCATTATGACTTTATGCATAAAATCAGGGGTGTATTTTTTGTTTGTTTTGTTTAGGGGGAGGATCACCTATTCACTGGCAAAAATGCATTTGAGAAGGATTTCCATGGGAAGGTCATGAATGTCGTTTATCAGGCTTTATTTTTTAATGTACTTGTTTATGTGTGGCTGCGCTGGGTCTTTGTTGCTGTGCAGGCTTCTCTAGTTGCAGGGAGCAGGGGCTCCTCACCGCAGTAGGAGGGCGGCTTGTTGCAGAGCTCTGGCTTTAGAGCACACTTCGGTAGTTACGGTGCACAGGCATAGTTGTTCGGTGACGTGTGGGATCTCCCTGGACCAGGGATCAAACTCATGTTTCTTGCATTGGCAGGTGGATTCTTTACCACTGAGCCACCAGGGAGTTTATTTTTTAACCCTATGCTTTTTTGAGAAAATGATGAATACAGAGTTCAAATAAGTTTCCAGATGGTTTGAGATAAGATACAGCAGTGATAGCATGTATTGATTCCTGAGTTAGGTGTGCTTTTATGAAAGCTATTGTCAACCTGGAGGAGCTCACTTGTTTTGAGATTTATTTTTGATATCAAGAACCAAGTAGTTGATGCCTTTCAAAAGGGTTTTAATATCTGTAGTATGGATATGACTTGTTCTTGTACACAGAAAGAGTTTGTTCAGTCACTAAGTTGTCCCCAACTCTTTGTGACCCATTGGACTGCAGCACGCCAGGCCTCCCTGTCCCTCACCATCTCCCAGAGTTTGCTCAAACTTATGTCCGTTTGAGTCAGTGATGCTATCTAACCATCTCATCCTCTGCTGCCCACTTCTCCTCTTGTCCTCAATCGCAGCATCAGGATCTTTTCCAGTGAGTTGGCTCTTCATATCAGGTGGCCAGAGGACTGGAGCTTCAACTTCAGCATCAGTCCTTCCAATGGATATTCAGGGTTGATTTCCTTTAGGATTGACTGGTTTGATCTCCTTGCTGTTCAAGGGACCCCCAAGAGTTTTGAGAGTACCACATTCCGAAAGCATCAATTCTTAGTGTTCAGCCTTCTTTATGGTCCAACTCTCACATTCATACATAACTATTGGAAAGACCTCAGAAAGAATTTATTAGCCATCTAGTAAGGTTTTAGGTTGAGGTGAACATTCTGTACTAGTGTCCATGTAGGATTAAAGATCACAAACTAAATCCTAATGCTTCATAGATAGGGTAGGAGACAGGGAGTGTCCATGAAGAACTAGCTGAGGAAAGCCTTCAACAAGTAACTATAGAATGTTTATAAATAGAAACACCCTATATTTACAAACCTACTTGGCAGAATTTTAAGGAATGCCCTGTACACACTTTAGAGTGACTTTTTTTGAAAGCTATTGGGAAGAGTAACATTGTTTGAATGATTTTCAATTTTTTTTGAAGTTTTTTTAGTATTTATTTTTGGCTGTTCTGGGTCTTCCTTACTGTGTGCAGGCTTTCTCTAGTTGCGGTGAGCTGGGGCTATTCTTTCATGTGGTTTGTGGATTTCTCATTGATTGTTGAAACACATTTAACTTATCAAAGGAAAGCAGAGTCATTAGATTTCAATTAATTTATGGTTTATGGATGTTTTAGTAGTATTATATACCAGAAAATTGACAAAATTATTCTTTTCTTCCCCTTATATTTTTGCTGTACCATGCAGCTTGTGGAATATTAGTTCTGTGACCAGGGATTGAACCCAGGCCATGGCAGTTAAAGGGCTGAGTTCTATCCACTGGTCTGCCAGGGAGCTCCCGAGATATGTGAAGTTAAAACTTAATAACAGGTTGCAAAGGGCAGACTATTCAAGCCAACAATTAACAGCACCTATTGAAAAAGCCTTTTAAAGTCATGCATTATGATAAATAACTGGGAAAATAAAATCCTAGTTAGTATCCCTGCTATCAAGGAACAGGAAAGGATGAGTGTCTGTTTACTGTTCCTTCTTTACACGTAAACTACTTGTTTATTCTCCTGACTTCCAACCCTTTTACTCTAGGGAGTAACTTCACATTCTACATTTAATGTTAGAGAAAATAAAAGCCAACAGACATGTAGTTTTTAAGTGTCTGTCCTCCAACCTCTCTGTGTATGTATATTGATTGTCTAATGCTTCTGGATCCCAGACTTTCTAAGAATCTTACAAATTTGATAATTCCTTCCTTTGCAGTATTTCTCTTTGCAGTGTCCTCTTTTTCTTAATGACTTCTTCCTTTCAACATTTAAACATGATTCAATTTTCACCTTAAAAAAAAACCCAAACTCTTAACCTGTATCTCACTCTATCCCTTTACAGCCAGATTTTTCATTGTCTGTCTTGTGTCTCTAATTCATCTTCTATTCATAACACAAAGAGTAGACTGTAGCAGTGGGATGATGCTAGATTCATAAATTATTGTTGTTTAGTCATTAAGTCATGAGTGACCGACTCTTTTGCTGTCCCATGAACTGTAGCCTGCCAGACTTCTCTGTCTGTGGGATTTTCCAGGCAAGAATACTGGAGTGGGTTGCCATTTCCTTCTCCAGGGAATCTTCCCAACCCAGCGATCAAACCTGAATCTCCTGCATTGGCAAAATAGGAACCTGAATATTAGGAAACTTGTAAATTAAAGAATTTTGAAGATTATCCTAAAAACTGGTCAACCATTGAAGATTTTTAAGTAAAGGAGCACCATAAAACTTGTGTTTTAGGAAGATCTTTCTGGCAATGTTGTGGGAAATGAAGAAAGTATTGTATCTTGGAGCAAGGAGACCAAGAAACTGTTGAAAAGAACTGTTGAAAGAAATCCAGGAGAGTAATGATGAGTTCCTGAATTAAGGCAGTGGTAGAAAAAAGAAGAGATAAAACAAATTCAAGGAAAATAATTACATCTTCCTTTTACAAATGTAGGAATTAATCTTCCTTTACAAATCTAGTATTAATTGATCTTTCCAATTCTGAACCAGTGCAGAAACAGTAATATTTTATACATCTAGCACTTAGTACTAGCAGCTGCAGCTATCTTTTGGATATCAGACACATACTTGGCTTGCGTTAACTGATTAAATTTCTGTATCAGATCTGTGATACAGGTGGATGCATATGAGGATATTGAGGCATGTGGTCATACAGATGGAGCTAGGGTACATAATTCACCTTGGCTCTAAGGCTCATTCTAATCCAGTGTGCTATTATTCCTGTGGCTGAAAAACATGTCTTATGTATGCTTTTATGCCTTGTAGTGTTAAGCACATAGTAGTTACTCAGTACTTGCAAATTGCCTCTATTTAGTCTGCATAAGAAGCATTTCCAAGAAGAGAGGGGGCGTTTTGGGTGATGGCTGTGGTGTGGTTATAAATAACATACTTCTATATCTCCTTTTCAGATCTGGATGGTGCTCTACTCTCAGGGCCAGATTGTGATAGGAATGTCAGTGCAAATTTGTTGACTGAAGCCAGCTCTGGTCAAGAAGGAGGTGATGCTGGTAGGTACAGTAGAATTTTAGCAGGAGTACCTTTAAGAGGATTTGAAGTTTGGGAATGTGTATGTGTTTATCAAGGACCTACAGCAGTTTCTTTTCCTTAAAGGAAAGTGTTAGGTATTAATATAAGCACTTTCAATCTGTGGCAGCTAATGTTAATTGTAGAATTTAGAAGACTGGTAAATACATGAATAGGTGTTTCTTTTTCTTTGAAGGAGACATGTTAAAGCTCTTAAATATCAAAAGCAATTAAGTTAATAGATTGTGGCTTCTAGCTAGTGTATAGATGGCATGAGAATGGTAATTATCAGAATGGTTGACTAGTGTATTTTAACTAACTGTGATGTAAAATAATAGTTTGTTTATTGATGACTATAGAATATACCAATTCTAAATAGTGATATTTATAACTGCTTTGCAGAAAGTGTCCTGCACAAGAAGACAAAGAATCCATGAGTATTCCAAAGAATAATATAGGTACATTAAAAAGGGAGAAAGCTTTCTTTATAGAATGTCATGCTAATAAATATAGAAGAATGATAAAATACATTTGTTTGCAACCTCAGGGGAAGTAGTTCAAAATCATCATTAGATAGTGAGCCACTATTGCTAGGTTCATCCCGTAATGCCTTGGTGAAGGTTTGTGACGGTATATTCCATGGTCTCAGTATCATCCATCTTGATTATATCATTGATCCAAAAAAAAAGAGATATTTGCTTGGAGATAGTTGGAAAAGTGAATATGTAGTACGGTTTAAATGATATTCCTAACAGTATAAAAATTCTTGGATGTGATAAAGGCACTATAGTTTATGTAAGAGAAAGTTCTAAAAGATACTGTGTTGAGGGGTAAAGTGATGAAGCATGCAAGTTGTTTTCAAATAGTACATAAAAGGTGTACATGTGCATCCATAGAGAGAAAGCACTTGGCAAAACTAACGTGTTGAAGAAAGTGATAAAATTTCTCTAGCTTTAGGAATCTTTTAAACAACTGGGACGACAGTGGTACTCCTTACAGAAAGTTCTCACGGGCTTGTGAATGTGCAGTGTGCACAGACCAAAATTAAGCTATAATTCTGAAGAAACTGCCTTAAGGTGGTTTCTCTTAACTGTTGAAAGAAGTTACAAAAAAAAAGTTGTTTTTGTTTTTTTTTTTAAATTGGCTGCTCTGGGCCTTCTTTCCTCTGCACGGGCTTTCTCTAGCTGCTGAGAGTGGGGGCTTCTCATTTTCGTGGCTTCTCTCGTTACGGAGCAGAGGCTCTGGGTGCATGCTGTGGTGCAGGGGCTTAACTGCCCCGAGGCATGTGGGGTCTTCTCGGATGAGGGGTCAAATCTGTGTCCGCTGCGTTGGCAGGCGGATTCTTAACCAGTGAACCACTGGGGAAGTCACTGAATGGTGTATGTCTTGGACATTAAGAAGCACGGAGATGAGTCGACAAGCACAGTCCTTGCTCTTAGGGTTTACTTTGTTTTGCTCTGATTTGGTCAAGAGCTCTGAGTCATAAACTCACAACTTTATTTAGAAGTGTGAAACTGAAAATTGATTAACCTTCACAGGCTGCTACTCCCAACCTTCCTCCTCACACACACAAATGTGGTGTCTCACTTTACCCCAAAGCAGTGTTACGTTACAAGTAAAATATGTAATTATGGATTCAGAGGACTTTCCTAACATTAAAAAACAGTAAGTGAAAGTATTCCCAGTACAAAACAGTTTACAGAAGTAGTAATGAATCACAATTTTTAAATACATTAGAGATTTTTTTGTATTGTGGATATTAATACTTTCACTTTTTCCTTAAGAGGGAAATCTTTAAATTCTTTTAATCTTTATAAAAGGCAATGTATTTGGCAAATAGATGTAGAAAATTGTATTTTCTATATTTTCTGTAAATTCTTAGAAAACCCATTTGACAGGCATTCTTTTATAAAATTGTGTGTATGGGAGAAAAATTGCTAACTTCCTACACAAGTGTGCTATGCTTATATCTTAGAAGGAGTGTTCAGGCTGAGGACAGAGTAAGTGCAAAGTGCAAAGGCTTTGAAGTAGTAGCCATTTTACTGACATGGAATAGCACAGAGGCTAGTGTGGTTGGAATAGAATAACCAAGGGTAAGGGCTAGATCAGTTAAGGCTTTGTAGTATATTGGTAATCTTTGGCTTGTACTGTGAGTAAGATTGTTAGTCTTAGCAGACTTTTTAGTTGGAGTAGTATCTGGTTCTGATTTAAAGTTGTTGTGTTTTTTTCCACTTTAAAAAAATTTTTTTCATTTATTTTTATTAGTTGGAGGCTAATTACTTTACAGTATTGTAGTTTAAAAAATCTGACTGCTGTGTTGAGAATGAGCTCTCTAGGAAGGCACCAGGGTGTGAGCTTGGAGACAAACTGATGGCTATTGAAAATAATCCAGAGGCAACAATTGATGATGAGTTGGGATAGGGTGGCAGTAGTTATGGGGGATTCTGGGTATGTTTACATTGCCAAAGGAGTACTTTCCAAATTTTTATTTAAGGATGAAGTTAGAGAGATTTTGGTAAACTCCCAAATTCATTATTATCTTGCCCTCCAACGTGTTTGAAACAACAAACAGGGGTCTAATAATTTAAGAATTTTACTTTCGTAATTACCCTATATTTATACTCATCATCCTTAGCCCACCTTTTCTGTACTGATAGAAGACTATCCCATTCCACAGCTGGACTTCAGGGTGGTATAAGTCTTCAGTGGGAGAAACAGCAACAAGTAAAAGGGTAGTTTCATGTAGTCTCAACATACCATTAAATGGTATTTTTACTGTACTGAATTTTTTTTTCCTGTGTTTAAATTGTATTTTAAACTTTAGTTTGTTATTTATTCTAATACCAGGCTATTGTAAATTAGAATAATAAGGTATGAGGCCATCTCAGTTTTAAACTAAAATAGTTTTTTAATATATCTATTTTATATTAGGCTGTTGCTCATATCATGATGCTGATAAAATAGTTTTATATCCATCTTTTTAATTCCAGTAAGAGTCATCTTAATTACCATCATTATATCAAAATCACTTTTTAATTGTATTAGGTCCTTCACATGATTTCAAGTATGGCCTGATGCCTGGCCCTTCTAGCGATTTCAAGTATGGATTGATACCAGGTACTTCAAACGATTACAAGTATGGATTGATACCAGGTGCTTCTAACGATTTCAAGTATGGATTATTGCCTGAATCTTGGCCAAAACAAGAAACTTGGGAAAATGGCAAGTATTAGTCAAAACATCTACAGAGCTCTTAATACTATTTTTATCAATTAATTAAAAGCTTCCACATTCTGGGTTTTAAAAAAACTCAGATGGTAGTAGCCATACAATAATCCCTATTCTCAGGAATAGGCAAGCTTTTGACGAGTTTTGTATAATGTATAATAATAAGTGCTTTTTTTGTTGTTTTTAATTCTCAAAGGTGAATCATCTCTAATCATGAACAAGTTAAAATGCCCTCATTGTAGCTATGTAGCCAAATACAGACGAACACTAAAAAGGCATTTGCTCATTCATACGGGAGTCAGATCATTTAGCTGTGATATTTGTGGAAAACTGTTTACTCGAAGAGAACATGTAAAAAGACATTCCCTGGTAAGTAACTTTAAGTGGTCATTGAGATAAACTGTGTTTAAGATATTTTAACACTATTACCTGCAAATTTTTGCTTTAAACAATGAATGTTATTTGTGAAACCAGTACTGAACTTCATACAGAAAGATAATAGTATATTTACTCTGTTAAATGGGAGGTTAAATTTGAGTGGTTCAAATGTATTATATTGTCTGTACTGTCCTAATATCGGATTTGTTTTTCACCTTTTCAATTAGGTGCATAAAAAGGATAAAAAATACAAATGTATGGTGTGTAAGAAGATCTTCATGTTAGCAGCCAGTGTTGGAATAAGACATGGATCTCGGCGCTATGGTGTTTGTGTAGACTGTGCAGATAAATCACAACCAGGAGGACAAGAAGGTGTAGATCAGGGACAGGACACAGATTTCCCTCGGGATGAAGAATATGAGGGGAATGGTGGAGGAGAAGCTGATGAAGAGCTGGTTGATGATGGAGAAGATCAGAATGATGCATCTCGATGGGATGAATCAGGAGATGTTTGTATGTCTCTTGATGACTAACTGACCTACTATACTCCTCAAGGATGCTGCATTTGGACATAATATGAATCAACAATTTGGATTGTTGAACTTGAAGGCTTGCAAAATATGGTACATGCTGGATGGTAGTTACATTGCTGTGAAAACTGTAGGGTCAAAGCCTTATAGCAAAAAAATTTTTTTTTTTATATTTGCACAGGACTGTACAGCAAACAACCTTGTGGTTGAATTACATGGAGTTCACACATCTTCAGTCAGTTATCAAAGTAAAAATATTTTTTATTTATAGGATATATAGTAAGTATTTGGATCCTCTGAAAATATAATACCTGTTCTTAAAAAGCTTACATTCATGTGCCACTTTAACATGAATGAAGAAAATTCATTTATTAAGAGTACAGTGACAGCTGACCTAATTACTCTGTCCATCAAACCACTCAGGCTAGTTTGTACTAGTAGAGTTTTGTTTCTATTTTTATTTTTATTAATTTTATTTTTTTTAATACAGATTTTCAGTGAGGGGCCTTTTCAACCCCATTGGTTCTACTTTTCTGTATTTTTCACTTTATTTTGCTTTATAACTTAAACCAAGTCTCTTCTAGTCTTAGGTATTATTTCTCAATTTTGTGCTGATGGGCATGTTTATAAGAACTGGAGAGGTAATTTATTGGAATGAACTAACTGACTTCCTCCATTCCCCCTTTCCCTTCTGACATGAATTTTACTACTTTACAAATGAAGAATGATGTTGCAAAGTACCATGGCAAGGTTGACAAATACCACTAAAATGATTATGATTTAAAAGTAACTTTCTTCTGCTGCTCTAATCTGATAAATGGTTACTATATGACGTTTTCTGACAAGGCATTTGGTTTTGGGTATCTGTTACTTTGGCACTACTCCTGTTTGCTTCTTTTTATTTTTGCCAGTGTACTATACCTCAGTCCTATTTCAAAAGACAGAAGTCTAATTGAAAGAAAAGTCATAGAAATAATAAGTAAAATGATTTGTTTTATAATTTATCCTCCATGTCCAGTTTGGTTAGCTTGTTATGCAATATAAGTGAAATATCAGGTTTTTACTCCTGTGCCCTTTTATCATTAAAATGAACACAAAAAGCGCATTCTCTTTTGTTTCATACTTATGGGGTATTCAGGGTTTGAAATTATGATAGAAAATTAATTTATTTTTCAATTCCTTGAAATCACTACATCTTGATATATATATATATAGTCTTTTTAGTAGGCACCATGATTCAACAAATCTGAAAAAGTCTTACAAATAAAATATTACGAGGCTTTACAATTTATTATTCTGTTCACTAAATTCTTCAGGATACAAGGGATGATGTATTAAGTTGAAATCACCAGATTTATTTAGTCTAATGACAGATGAATTAACTGATTGACTCACAGCAGCATTTCACATAATTGATATGAATATGCACAATGTTTATCAGGAACATACTGTATATTATATAAGATTGAGGGATATCATATTTTCAGCTTTCTTTTAAATAGAAATTGAGTATATTTTCCTATTTTATATCAGGTAACTAAATTATGCTAGTCATATGGAAAAAGTACACTTTGACAGACATAATCCTTTTGGTGCTCTATCTGATCAAAGTTGAAAAGACTGAGTTTTTTAAGAGACAGACTTTCTTACTGTCTCTGATTTCAGTAGAAAGATGGTTTAACATTAGACATTGATGCTTCTGCTTCGATAAATCAAAGAGAGTACAGTTACATGGTGAGATGCATCATTTGTCACCTATACTTTATCATAGTTTCTATAAAACTGAAAAACTGACATGAATAGTTTTGGTTTGGTTTTTGTTTAAGACTGAAGAGTACATCTTTTTCTCAGTGTTCTAGACAAATGAGTAAAATGTAATTCTGGTGGGGTCCAAAGTAGACGTTAGTTGGGCAAAGATACTATGAATGGAAAAGTATTTTAAACGTAAAATGTACTGCTTTGTGAATATGTAAGTATAGTATAAAGATTTCTTTCATCCCATTTATCCCTCTCCTTTAAAATAAACCATAGTTTACAATTGGTAGATCTGTCTATATATAAATATATATTAAAGAGAAAAGATATATATCTGAAAATCACCTAAATCTGCTTTATTAGACTACAGTTCACTTATTGCATAGAAACTGGACTTGGCTTTACATTCTTAATGTACTTTTACTTTTCCTTAAGATATGAACTTACTCTCTTTAAACTGAATTTTCTTTACTACTTAAATTGTTTATGTATATCTGGTAAATTATGACCAAATTTTTGTTAGATTGCATACAGTAAATTGAAAATACACACTTGGTACACTACGGATTGTTGTGCTTTTGTTTTGGTTTTAGTTGGAAACAAGGTTTGATGTAGATGGCTTGTTACTGTTAATTTAAAATATTCTATAATTATTGTCCATTACCTTCTGTGTTGTGTTGTGACAGATTTGGCTATATTTTTAGTCAACTGAAATAATGATACTTTAAGAATTTGATTTTAGAAAGGTAATCCAAAGGAAAAATGTTTATACTCTTGAATATATTAGCCTCAGCCTATATAAAAATTTCTTTTAAAGTAAACATTTTACCAGAAACAGAATTGACAGATTTTTCTACTTGCTGACTGCCTAACTTATTTTGTTTCGTGATCTTGAAGGGACTGCCTTTTCCCTTCTGGGTCTTTTTTTAAAAAATAGTTTAGTACTAAGGTATACTACTGGATGTTTCTATTTTTTTAAGTATATTCTTTTTCTGACTTACAGTACAATTTCAGGAAGTTGATAGATACTAAGAACTCATGATTGGTCTCAGAGAAGTAACAGTGGAATACTCATAATTTTGTCTGTGGCGCCCTGGCGGAATTATGTGTTACACACTTGCTGAATTTTTCTCTTGTAACTTATATTTTAAATGAAAAATATTTTAGATCTTTTATTTAATGAAGGGGGAGAGTATAAACTGTTTATTTCCTATTCATTTTGTAGTAACAGACCCTCTCATATAAATCAAGATACCATGTATCATTTCTTAGGAGTCTCAGAGGCAGTTACTTCCATACAGCCCCTGCTTTTTCATTGTTATTGGCCCTTATTTTTCACATTCACTAGATATTTTGCTAAATTTCAACACCCTCGCAATTAAGAGCTAAAAAAGAAAAGAAGCATTATAAGGGAAAACAGAACAGTAATGAATAGTTTTGAAATTTGGGGGAAAGCATGAGCTGGTTTTTTGGTAGAGCCATCCTGCTGAAGAAGAGATGAAGAAGTTTATTCATATATGTAAAGCACTTAGAACACTGCCAGGTGCATAATAGTGACATGACACATCTTAGTTGTTTAAATAATACATGGGAACCAAGGGGGAAAGGGGTGGAGGAATAGAGAATGGGAATGAAAAAATTGGGACTTAGAAATTTGTATTAATACAATGTTTTGTAAAAGGCCTGAAGATGACTAATATAATATTGGGGAAAGTGTGATGGAAGAAGGGTCTTAAAAACCATAAAATTTAAAACCATTAAGCTTTATTTACATTTTTAGGGTGTTGTCAGCATAGGATGAAAAAGTTATTTTTCTGAATAATTCCAAAAGCTAGCTTTTTTTTGGTGCCTGCACATGCCATTGCGCTTTACCTTATCAAATCCCCTGTAAGTAGGTGCTATTGTCTCCATTTTATAGACAAGGAAAGGCTCCATGAAATTGCCTAATTGAACTAATGTAACAGTCACTACAAGGTAGAGCTGGGTTTTGACCAGGTCTGATTCTGAAGCCCATGCTCTTTTTAGGGGGCTCTCTTGCCCCTACTTTTGTAGGATTTTAGCTCTTTAAAGTGGTCTGTCTATGGAGACGTATTTTCCGTATAAAACAGCTATGTTAGGAATTTGAGTGTCTGTCTAATCCTTCCTCCCCCAAATGTCCTTAACTACTCTTGCCTCTTAATACAGCAATTGTTATACCACATGACTGTAAACAAGATACCTTTCAGTGTAGCCCATGCTATTAATTGGCTGTAGCATTTTCATTTTAAAAGGATGATTTGTAACTGAAGAATTAGACATGAATCCCAGTTTTGTGCCATTCAGTCACCCAGATCCTTAAACTTAACTATGGTACATAATATACATGCTTAGAACTAACAGGTATTTTTTCTTAGTCACTTTAGTATTTTAAATGGAAACTTTTTTTTCCCTGCTGTATCCCTACTTTCAAGTGTAGTTGAGCCATTCAAGGTATTTAGTTTAAAATGTTTTAGGGATAAGCACATTTTAAAAGATGTTTTGTAGCCCTGAATTTTATGACATTGGGTACTTAAAATTTGGAGTATGCTGCCTATTAAGAACAAAGTTGGATTAAGGAGAGGGTTGGTTGAGGCCATTATTAGATGGGAGAATCAGCATTTTAAAAACACTGTAAACAAAAGAACACTTTCTGCCTGCTGTTTGTAAAAGCTCTTTGGGAAGATCTTTTACGAAGACCAATTTTTAATGTAATTTACCTACCTAGTATAAGTGTCCTAAGACATGTATGTAAACTTCCACAATGTTTTTTTTTTTTTTTTGGTCTGTGTATTTAGAAAATACACAAGAATCTTTATCAAACCTAAAAATATAAACTTGTGAGCACTGAACTGCTTCTGGCTTTGTGAATTTTGTTGACTCATATTTCATCCAGATTGCTTTTAACGATAATAATTTAGACTAACGGGGTATGGGAACTCCTTTATAAACTTTAACTTATGTATAATTCAGATACCTTTGTATTGTAGAATATTAAGGTTTATCTCTTTTTACGTGAAGTGCATAAAAGACTCAAACTACCTCCAGTAGTAATTTTTGGAGAGCTGCTTTAATGAATAGAAAGCAGTGGTATAATCAGCATATCATTTGTCTTTTATCTTTATTACTTTTGGAATTCTCTCCAAGTTGTAGAAAACATTGAAACATTTTCCCTGAAAGTACACACTTGGACATGGGTTGAAAAGCAAAGGTAAACTGCTTCACTTTTATTG